TCGGAACCAACTACAGTTGAAACCAGCGAAGCTTCCACAACGCCCGACACATCAGAATCTACGGGATCCTCAGCATCCAGTTCATCGGAACCAACTACAGTTGAAACCAGCGAAGCTTCCACAACGATCGACACATCAGAATCTACCGGATCCTCAGCATCCAGTTCATCGGAACCAACTACAGTTGAAACCAGCGAAGCTTCCACAACGATCGACACATCAGAATCTACCGGATCCTCAGCATCCAGTTCATCGGAGGCAGCTACGGATTCCTCAACAAGCCCTGAATCCACAACGATAAATGAAGAGTCCACAACGATTGCTCCAAATGGAAAGCAAGCAGCCTTTGCAGCCGGGGCTCGATCCGGCCGTGCGCGTCGCTCATTGGCGGCCCGGGCAGCCGATCAGCTGATTCGCAACTATCGGTCCCTTGAGCCATACGCAAGAGCCGTTGAATATCGTACGGCGGCCTGCTACAGCATCGAGAAAGATGGCGGTAAGTGGAGCCAAAGTTGTAGTAACTGCGAGCGGGGGTTAACGACTACCAAGTGCTCTATAGCTTGCGTACAGTTTTCTGCACTGACTGTAAAAGCTAAAGCAGTATTTACAAAACTGTAAGGTTTGGTGACTCTAAGACTAATCCAGCGACTTAAAACTGGGTGCCTTGGTAGATCTTAATAGGAATGTATTTTTAATTTATTTAATGCGCGACTCAACCTGTGAAGCCTTAGTAATGTCACTCAAACTGTAAGATTAAGTAATATTTGTGTATATTTTGTCTTTGAAAGAGTTTTTCTTTATTCTTGAATATCATTCAGGTGACTTCTAAAAACAATTTTAAAGATTTCTTTTTTTTTTAATTTATCTTAATTTTAGTACATACTTAGATAATCAAATGATCTGAGTTTCATATAGAAAAGTTATTTGAAATTTATAAATAATATGAAAGATATATGTGATGAGTGCAGAAACTCTAGACAGCTGAGCTAATGTACCCTTCTGATCACTTTCTAAACAAGGTATTCGATTTCCTTTCTAATCGAGTTTCTTTTCTCCTCTATTCAGTGCTTAATCGCGGCTGCGTTCGCATACCAGTTGGCCAGAGTGGCTGCCAAGCGGTGCGCGAGAAAGTTGGCTTGCCGGAGGACGCAGTGGGAGATCTGTGCGACGTGTGCCAGATGGATCGCTGCAATGGCAGTGGCAGTCTACGGATGTCCTTGGCAGCACTGCTGCTGCTTGTGGGCATTGGGCTGAAGAGCCTCTTCTAGGGCTTACGTTAATTTTATAATATACATATAT